CTCCTCCTTTTCCTCCTCCTCCTCCACAGATGGAACCACCGCTGCCAGAGCTCGATCCCCATCCGCCAGTTATTCCACATTTTCCTCCTCCAGAGATAGATCCTTTCCTTCTGTTTTTGCTGGCCGTACCAGAGTTCATCCCTCCCTTCCCACTTTTCGAGCCGCCTGATCTTATTCCAAAGACTCCCGTAGCACTCGTATTTTGGTCAATGACACCTGCAAGAAATTGAAGTTATGTCCACCTTATACTTTTGTCCCAAAAAAATCATAAGCACAGCTGATATTACTACTGATGTATGGCCATCGTTGTACCTACTCTCATGTCTTTGTAATATCTTCAAAAAGGGGTACAAGGATCTTCTTTAGTAGATATACCTATGAAATGTTTTCTTACGTGGTTCTGGCTTTATTAGTTTATCTTTTGCATTACTTATGTCTTACTCCTTACACAAACACCCTGTGAAGTCCTTCCTTTATGAAGGGAAATATTTCTCTCTCTTCTACTTGGCCTCCTATTTCCACAAGTTTTAGGACTAGATTTTTTTTTTCTTCTTCAGTTCTGACGTACACCACATAGACCTATAGAATGAGATGTTTCCCTACTTCCTACAAATTTGGTTGAAATTGGCCAATAATTTCCAGAATCAGTAGTTCAATAATGACTTATTAACACATATACCTATGTATTTACACACACACGAGTTTGCTTCGTTTCCCTAGGAAACGTGGATGGGAACTAAGATAGGTTGTTCTGATGGTAGGTGTTAAGTACCACAGACAACATAATGGTAACACCACTCTTAAAAATTGAAGCAAAACCTTGAGATACTTACAGATTGTGGCTGGTGAGCCTTCCTGTATCCTGTGAAGGAAAAGCGACATTGAGGTAATGCATCCAATAAACGTAAACGTCAGTTTAGGGTCTAAGAGGAAGCCAATGAAAGAGGTCACTCCTTCCAGGCAGCAATTCCTCCTGGAGATCTAATTCACAGATCGAATAATGGGACGCACTGCTTTGTACAGGTGCTTCTATCCAGGATGAATAGTTTGTACATACCTGGTCTCCTCCTCTTCAAGGAGTGACCTATACATGGCAATTTCAATATCCAGGGCCAATTTCACATTCAGGAGCTCCTGATAATCAAGGAGAAGACGAGCCAGATCATCTTTGGCCTGCTGCAGGGCATCTTCCAACTCCTGAAGCTTTTGCTGGCCATCTTTGATAGCAGAGCTCCCACGCTGCTCAGCATCTTTAATGGTTTCTTGGAGGCTGGCATTCTGCAGAGGGCACAAAGAGCATGTCTCCATTTCTCTTCTATAGGACTGGGATTGTCAAACCCTCTGACAGTCTTTGGAAATTAAAAGACATGCCTCAATGACAGAACTCAAAAGATACAACATTAGACTGGGTAAATTAACCCAAATTAAATCCCAATATAGACACCCAAACCAATCTGCTTCATTTTGAAGAGAAAACATCATCTCTAGGTTTGCCTCCAAAGGACAGGTTACATTATACTGCACTAAGTTCCCAGGTAAAAGTGACTTTAATAGTTTAGTCATGTCGGAAAATATCAGCTTTACCTTTTTCCTTGCAATTTCAATTTCTGGTTGTAGTCTTTGGATGTGCCTGGTAAGTTCCTGGATTTCCTGATAACTGTTCTTCAGTTGCTCACGTTGATTCACCCACATATTCTGAAGGTCCTGGTACTGATGTGCAGAAGGAAGAGAAAAGACATCTTTGGTTTCTTTTCCAGTGAGCAGACCTGCCTCCCTATCTTGTTGATGTCTACTCACCCTGCCCTGATACATGGCATCTACTTCAGCTTTGCTCCTCTGAGCAATTGTCTCATACTCCTGCCTGACTTCTTCGATGATGCCATCCATGTTCAGTTCTCTATGGTTGTCCATGGACAGAATGACATTGGTGTTGCCAACTACAATTTGCAGCTGGGAGAGCTCCTGCAAGCAAAACAAGATTTTGGATTTTCACGGTGCAGGTTGTGTTCTGAGGACAGAAATGGCCAGTTACCCACTGGAACTTCCCTACCTGCATCCCTCAGGTCCTATTATTCCACCACCAGTTTTAATTTTCAAGTGTCTCTTCCAACCTTCGTGACACACCAGACCCCCTTTGTCACGCAGATGAAAAAGGACTTTATAAGATCAAAGGCCAAGGATGATCCACCCTGTACACCACTCTACAAAGTCCTGTTCGGGTGAAATTTCTGGGAATCTCCAAAAGATACATGTCCTTCAAGACCTGAGGGTAAGTTTTTAATCAGAGAAGCATACTCACAGCTTCATGTAAGCATCTGAGGAACTCAAGCTCCTGCCTCAGTATTTCCACCCGAATATCAAACTCTGTTTTTCCCATGTAGGCACGGTCCAGTTCCTGTTAAAAAAAAAAAAGCGCGATATTTGTATTTCTTTAATGGCAAACTCTCCACTGAGGTGCAATTCTTGCAAGACATGGTACATTTCTTTAAAGCTTTCATTCCTGGAGTCAAATAATGTTCCACGAATCTCACCTTTCATTTGAAAAGCAATTGGAACAAAGAGAAAGCTTTTAATTAGAAGAAAAGAATGGCTTGGAAATAAGCAAAATAGCTGCGTCAATAACTGTTCCTGGAGAAAATGCAAAATGTAGAAACACCAATTTCATTAATTCTTCTAATAAATAGTTGTCTAAGCCATCTATAGACATTATTTAACCCCTAATAACGATGTCTCGCCGAGGTTGTGATTGAGTGAATAGAGAAAGGCCAGCACTTTAGATATTCATCTTACAAAAGACCAATTCAGTCTCTAGAGGAAGTTATTTCTCTCCAGTCTTGCAGTAAAAAGCTCAGGTTTTCAATGACTTCAGTTTAGAGGAGAGTTAGACAAAGTTAAGCAAAGACCTTGCTTTCAAAATCCTTGGCAACCATCCAGTTATTGCTTTATTTCTGAGGCTTTGATTTAGCTCAGTGTCTTGGATTACTTCACCTTTTTAAGCTCCACAAACTCCTCCTCTTTAGATGCTCGCTTGTTGATCTCATCCTCGAATCTGTTGCAGCAGAGAAAAGAAATAAGTGGCTTATCACCTATCTTACTTTTTTCAGTCAAGTGGATCAGAAACCAAAGGGAATCACCCAAAAAGCGAATGAGTCGAGTTTTCGTTTAACTGCAATTTCTGGCAACCGCCAAGGCAATTGCAAACCCTCTGCAAAACTATCGCGTAATTAGACAACAAAATGTGATATAGGTCAGTTCTAACATCCCTGCAATTCTGAACTAAGCTTCCCATTTTACAGAGCTGTAGACATAAGTTATCTTTTGGGTACAGCAAAGCCAGAAGTGACAACTCTTCTCAACTTGACCCCACTGCTCAGCTCTGTCCCTCCTCGCTGTCCAGGTTGACCACGACTCCACAACTACCAGCAGGAGTAAGGAGTCCTGGGTTACTCATTGCTTGGGGGAGGAAGGGCGTGAAGGAGGACAGGAGGAGAGAAGAGTGGGATAGATCTACAGAGCCTTTGATTTTCCTCTTACTGTTCTGGGTTCTTCCCTCATCAAAGACCCATAATAAACCAACGGCAGAGTAGTGCTATGATGGCTACAAAACTCTTGAAGGTGTGAAGCTCAGCTATGCTATCCCAGGGCACGATTACCATTGGCTTGGAAAATTCCAGCATGTTTTTTTCCCAAACTTGTGATTATTCACCTCTTTTTATAATCTTCAACAAGCTGAAGCATATTATACGCTTCCGGATCCAGCTGCTCCTTCTGGTCCTGGAGTGTTTCTAGCTGCCTCTGCAGGCTGCTGATGTAAGATTGGAAGAAAGAGGAGATATTTCTGCTCTCTTCTGGTCGGGTACTTTGCTGCTGCAGAAGTTCCCATTTGGCGATCAGAGCCTGGTTCTGCCGCTCCAGACATTGAACCTGAAAG